GCAATCGACATGCTCTGAAAACATGGCATTGTTATTTCACTCTCATTATGCATCAAATTCAATGCTGCTGACGCAGTTGCACCGCCGCTCTTGGTCCTTCGTTAAGACAGCTGTTCTTATGCCATACAACACTGACCCAATCGAGGCAAGATACAGGCAGATTTTCGTGGGAAGAGTAATTCCTTTCTCAGTTCAAATATTGAATAGGTTTCCAAACACAATCGAGGCTATGGCGATCCTCTCATTTAACTCTACCTGTATAATGTTATCGCTGAAGATAATGAGACCGAGACACTTAAGTTACTCAACTTCCTGAAAATATTCACCTCCTTGTTCCACTTGTAAATTAGCGATGCCAAATGGGTTCCTCATAACCTTTGACTTCCGAGAACGAAGGAAGAGACCGCTGTTCGCAGCTGTGTCGCATGCGGAAATAGTCAGGTAGCAGAGCTCTCTTTCCCTAGTACTCACTAAAACAATATCATCAGCGTTCTATAAGACATGGTCTAGCCGACTATCTTGAATTATGGCTTACTCCAAATTGAGACCCGATATTTGCCAGAATCATAGTCATTTCAGAGAAAAAAGTCGAAAACAATGTTGAGTAGCAAATACGACATCTCCCTGACGAACTTCACAGTTAACACGAAATCACTTTTACTGGACTTTGACTACTGGCGATTAGACTACACTAGAACAATTTACATGCTACATTGAAAGTACCCTTATTCAGCAGATTTTCAGTGATAAATGTAAGAACAATGAATAGTAACGAAACTGCATACCGACTGGAACATCAGGGTGAGATCGATTAGGAATTTTCAATGCCTCCGCATAAAACGCATTCCAAATATCTTGTAACTGCATCTCGTCTACATGGTCCTGCCTGCCCAGGACAAACGGATACAACGTGTCCCATAGTCGGTGCACTTCATCGATGTCCCCGACCTGTTTCCGACGTTCAATGTTCACCCGTATTTCGGCAAGTCGATTCTTATCCAGCAGATAGTCAAAATCGAGTTCCGGTCGAACGCTCACCGCCGGTATCCTAGGCAAACACCGAGTGGACAGCGCCCGACGGGAAAAAAACAATTTCAGGACAGCGCCTCCGTTCATATAGTCATCTAAACCATCCTTATATGTCAAATCGTCCTATAAGTCTTTAATACTTCTTTCAGAAGGCACTTCAAAATGACAATTAAATTAAATTGCTACAAGTGTGAAACCATAAACAAATCCCCGTGAATACAACAGTATTCAATAACATAATTTAAGTAACAATTAACACTTCACTAATTATCATTGAACTTGTCATCATTAAGTCGTAAAAAATTAACTTGTTATTGACTAAAATAATTCACTAATTTCTAACTCATAAATATAATAGCTATAGATGTTGTTTTTCAAAACTCAGCGTACGGTTATTGTCAGACGATTTGTAACGATAAGTAGGTTATGCCATAACGGAGTGAAAAAAAGCGCAGAACACTCCATTCAATTTTTACAAGACAAAGACATGATGCTGTTGTGCAACGATGAACAGCAAGCATGGTGCGTTGATGCGCTTAGATAATATTCGCTACTTACGAACGGGGCTGTGAGACATCGTGTAACCCGGTGTAAAGAATGTACGAGTCGTTATATAAGCGATTATTAGTGAAAACTAACCCAAAGTGGTTTTGGACACAACTTCATAAAATCCATCAAATGATAACTAATACATATCATACGTTAATTGACTAATCAATTAACAATTAATTCATGCTAATCAGTCATCAAGTCAATTTTTGTACCCGAACATCTCACCTATAATAGCTCGACTTTTGATTTTAGTCAGGGACAGCGGACAATGGTCCAAGTAGATAATGATAGGGTATGAAGGAATAAACAGCTGTGTATTCTCATATACTTCTATGAAATGCACAAAAACGTATCATGACGTTGAAGAAACCCTTTAAGAAACTGCGGTAAAGCTCTTGGACATTTGGGAGTCCAACGCATGTCATTTACGATTATGCGGTAGCTTTTTTGATGACTTCTCCACAGAGTGGACGGAGACCCTATAAGCAGTGAAGATAATTCTTCTTGGCACTGACGGCACCAACCACAACCGAAATTAGTTCCGCCTTTGTTAATTTCCACATCTTTTCTTTTCATCTTCAGATCTTCATATTTCAACACTTTTACCCTATCCTTGGCAGAATGCACTCTGTTGTCTGGACATGCTACGTTCGGGATCCTTTTCTTTTGTATACAACAACAAGATATCAAATCAGTGGTTCTAGGACAATAATTCCTGAACAAAAACCGTTCGAAGAATACAGGTCTTCCACTCATCATCAAATGGGATCTTGTTGAATTGTTGAGAGTCTAGTATCTCAAAAATATTGTAACCCATGAATGGATTTGTAAAAGGTAGTTATGAGAAGGTCATGTTTATGTGAAGCAGAAAAATATGGCAAATGGAGTTGTATCGTTCGAGCGTGAGAGAAGACGCAACAAGGCGGAATGTAAAGCTAAAATTAAAGTTCGAAGAGAGAAGCCTGTAGAATGGCTAACTAATCATTCCCATGGTCCAGATCCTGCTCAAAAATTAATTATCACAAATTTCTTGGGAGGTGGGGGGCTTGTCTGGAGGGAGGGGGTTATCCGGGGCTTATTGTCTACGAGGGTTTTGTCCCGAGGTTATTGCCCAGAGGGGTTTTATCCGGTTACCCAAACCAATGATCTGACGCCTGATCTCTCATAGAGATTTTTTTAGAATTTTCAATTCTCTCGTGTCTTTTCACTTCAACTTCGAACGGCTCCCAACGTTGTTTTATCACCGGCTTGACAGTTCGCTTAAAAAACACTAGTGGAATACTGTTGCAATTAAATGTTGAACGTTTTATACACACCAATCTGAGGTAGCATCTGCATTCTGAGACAATGTCCTATGGCTTCGACCTTCTACTAACATTTCCAAATCTGGTTCCCAGCTGGCAGCATAGGATCGTTGCGTTGCACTCTTTGCACCCAGACCTTGATACTGGGTGGAAACAATCAGGATTTCGGTTCTCCCCATGGAGTCCGCTCCCAGTAAAACAATTGAAGGCGCTGTGCAGGCAAGAAGTTCCTTGGTGCTCTATTCATTGAATCGAGAGATATCTAGATTCGTTTGATGATTCCCTTCATTTACAACTGCATTTATTATACCTCAGACACAACAAAGTCGTTCTCTCCTTATTTACGAACCATGCAACATCCAGTCAGTCATATCGACCATCACCTAGAAACACAAAACTGTGGAAAATCTATCTATCTAAAAGTACATCAAACC